GGATATTAACATCCCTGGTACAGGTAAAGTTCCCACGCAAGCAGCGGGTGATAAACGTCTGTTGCGCTGTTTGACAAGAGTCGTATCTTTTGTATTTTCATTGTATAAGGAGATCTTATAAAAAGATCAACTTTTTTTATTTGAGTTTATTGTAAACGATGAAAGTTGTAATAGATTCAATCACAATGAAAACAACGATTTTTGACCCAAACAGTTAATGTTGATGATATTGGATGAATATGTACAACAATAATGTGATTTTTTATGATGGTTACGGGTTGGTTGTGAACCTCGGTAACTTGAGATTAAAATAGAGTATGTAAATTTATATATTTATTGTTATTTCACGGTAATAAATTTGTTGTTAAGCTTATGAGTTGGTGGTGAAGGGAGGTTACATGTTGGTTTTGAAGGTTACAGGTTGGTTATGAGGATACGCGTTGGTTTTGAAGGTGTTACGGGTTGGTTGTTAAGGTTATGGGTCGGTTGTTAAGGTTACGAGATAGTTGTTAAGGTTACGAGTCGGTTGTTAATGTTAGGGTCGGTTGTTAAGGTTATCGGTTGTGAATGTTACGTGTTGGTTGTTAAGGTTACGAGTTGATTATTAAGGTTACGGGTTAGTTCTTAAGGTTACGGGTCGGTTGTTAAGGTTACCAAGGTTACCGAGATTCACAACCAACCCGTTACCTTAACAACCGACCCGTAACCTTAACAACCAACTCATAACCTTAACAACCGACCCATAACCTTAACAACCAACCCGTAACCTTAACAACCAACCCTTAACGTTAGCAACCAAACAGTAACTCCTTCACCATTAACGCGTATCCTTCACAACTAACGCGTAATCTTCACAACCAACACATATCCTTCACAACTGACCCATAACACTTTCACAACCGACACATATCCTTCACAACCAACCAGTAACTTTCAAAATCGACATGTAACCTTCATTCACCATCAACTCATAAACTTAACAACAAACTTATTACCGTGAAATAACAATAATATATAAATTTACATACTCTATTTTAATCTCAAGTCATCAATTTTCTTACAAGTATTCTGTCGATGAACGAAAGCCATTTTCTTCTCGCCGGTGTAAGTTTCCTGCCGTTTTCTTACAAGTATTCTGCCAAAAATTCTAGTTTTCCCAAGACTTTTTCTTCGCCTCATGAACAAACACTAAAAAAGTTTTACTACCGATGTTGACGTCATTGGAAACTTTTGGAGGGAACTAGAATTTTTTCCCCAAAAACCCATTTTAAAGCATCACAGTAACATCATGGAAAAGAGAGAGAGAAAGGGTATTATGTTCTTCACATATTTTAAACTATTGGGTTTTGTGTTTTGGGGACTTAGGGAATTATGAGTTTGCTTTTGAGGGTATTGGGAGCATTGAAAAAGTCTTGGGAGGGGGTGGAACACTTGTAATAAAATTAGAGGCTAGAAACAATTTCCCCTATTTATAATGCATGTCCTTTATCATTGCCTTATCTAGAATTGGGTTGTTCAGAACAGTAGTCTCGTATGCCTAGGGGTGCATTCGATCCTGATACGGCTCGGATATGATGCTTACCATATCCATATCCTCTTACCCATCTCGGATACGGATACAGATACAAATATACCTCGGTAAGAAAATTTTATAACTATATCCGCTAAAATTGGTTACGATTACGGATATACATGCGGATATGTAAGCAGATATGCATGCGGATACAAAACAGATTTGAGAAAACTAGATAGTATTGAGAAAAACATAGTTCATGTGATACAAAAGAGTTCATTAATATCTCTATTATAACTAAAAAGTTAAGATTAGACATCTTGATCATCAAAATTAACACAAAATATATAATCTAAGAATCGAAACTATCGTAAGAGTATGACTAATATGTATTCGGATATTTTGGATACGGATACAAATATTTCACTACAAAACTATATCCGTAACTATATCCTATCAGTTATAGATTTGAGTAACCATATTCGTATCCTAACAGATACAATTACAGATATTTCCTCGGATACGGATACGGCTTAGCACAGCTACGTACGCCACATCATCCACAAGCACCGGCTCCATCAACACATTATAATTAGTTACACGGTCCGAGACTAGATTCCCACCCCCCAACCCCACTTCAAATGGCTACATCCACTTCTTTATGGAGGAACTATCTTCTACGTTATGTCTTCTACTGCCATTCTACAAGAAAAAAAATAATCCTCATCCTAGTTTGGGCGGGAGAAGAAAGGGGAACATTAATAAAAGGGGGAAGAGGCTTGAACCACTACGATCTTCAATAAAGAGGGTGATGTGACATCATGTTTTAATTAGGGTTAGAATGAGAAACAAATTTGAATCATTGATGAGGTGTTATCGTATACTGAGGGCAAATTACATTTCAATCTCTTTTTAGAAGTTGAGGCACTCATTGACAAAGTCATAGGGGCACATTACATTGAACAAAATGCGGCCTATAAGCATTTTGTTTCTACCAATGTTATTGATTTGGGGGACTTATTCAAAATTTGGAAGAGTTAATTAACTAATATTAATAAACCTATTTAACTAAAAGTAATTGTTCAAGCAATATATTTAAGTTGAGGATTACTATATTGAACATAGAAAAAGAATTCTGAAAAGATGAGAACAGCTAAGTGGCTAGTTTATGAATTAGTGGATGCAAAAGATCAAGCAGTGCGACTAACAAATTAGTTAGTATGATTTTTGTTTATTCCCAATAACCCAAAGACCCTTTTTTTTTTTTCCTTTTGGACTATTTTCTAGGGTTTGAAGTCAAATAAGAACACCTTTAGTCTGTTTATTTCTTCGGTACGTGGATTTGCATTTTGGTCAAATAAAAATTTGGGATTCTCATCATCTACATGAACATCATTTGTAAAAATTTTAGTTCCATGTTTTTCTTTATTCGGAGTTGTAGCGATCTGAAATGGGCTTCTTTCCCTTATTTTGATGTACTTTTTGCATTTAATTATAAAATTGTTAAGATGTTTATATTTTCATGTGATTTTGTATTTTGTGATGGTATTGTGAAACGGGATTCATCCTATTTTATTAAGTTTTACATTAAAAAATAGATATGTATAATTGTATAACCTATAACTTATTGTCAAACTATCATATCTTCAAAAAGATTTAAATTTATAGGTTATAGTTAGGGGAAGACATAATTAGTACACTTGTTAGAAGGATCTTTAGAAGATTGTAGCATGCGGGCAAATATGCTGAAATAATTCAAGCATTCATGATTCGTAAAAGTTCTATCCAGATGCTTCTTTCACTATTTAAATATATTGGAATTTATTAAATGTTGTCATATTTGATAATTTTATAGTGATGCAGCATGATAATTGTGATTTTCTCCCAAAAATTTTTTGGCTACACCACCACCGCCCCCTAGGAGGTCTTCTTTGGTGAAGGCGGGGACCCTTCGCGAAGCTTGATCAACACTCCTGGTTCCAACAACACATCTTTTTATTTTTCCAACTCAACTCATCCTTTTCCTAAAACCTGCTTCTTCGGATTCTATCATGTGGAGAACACCAAACCGGGTCGACAATTTTCCCTTTCTTGTTGTATAATAAGGGTTAATTGCGAACAAACCCCTTGTAGAATCACTCAATTGCAAAGGAACAGCTAAAGTTCCATTTGTTGCGATTCCACTTGCTGTGAATAGACCCCCTATAGTATTGGCCCAAGTGCAAATACGCACCCTTAGTGAACTTTTTTCTGGGTCTTTTATAATTTAAAAAAAGGTAGCAATTCGGTATCTATCCCCACCAATAGAACTGTAGGAGGCCTATCCATCTCCTTAAACATTTTTGACGGTTTCAAGAGTTAAAAAATTCATGAGGGGTCTATTTGCAGCAAGTAGAACTACAGGGGATCTATCTTGCAACAAATAAAACTATAGGGGGCCTTTTCCAATTAGATGATACTAAGGTGGTCTGTTCACAATTAACCCATAAACACGACATAAAAAAGATTGAGAAGTAGGAGCAATGATTATTTACATTCTTGATTGTAGATAGTCTCTACAATTAACATTGGTTGATTCAGTCAATCCCACAATTGAAGGATCTTTTTATATAATTTAAATAAAAAAATATCATTATCTAGAGATTCTCTACATCCTAAATTGTAGAGAATGCCAACAACTATTTAGGTGGATAAATAAAATTGGTTCATTTAATAGACCCCACCACTAATTTTTTTTATATAATTTATTATTAATAGCATTCATAGAATCGACTTAGGGGTTGTTTGGTTGTATGTTTTTACCGTGTAAAAGGATGGAAAGTGTAAAAAAGTGGGTCCCAATGTCAGCTTTCATCACTTTTAATTGTTTGTTTGTAGTCGTGAAAATAGTGTAAAGTGATTTCATATGCTGATGTGGCTTGTAAAGTGATTTCATAAATAAAAGACATGATTTTAGGAGGAAGCTGACATTGAAGTCAGGAAAAAAATAATAAAAAATAATTACAACCAATATGATCATTTGAGTAGGGACCACTTTTTACACTTTCCAAACAAACAATTAAAGTTACATTTACAAACGAAAAATTCTTTAAGGACCCAAAATATGGGACCAATAGGGGGGACAAGCGAGGTGTCCCCCTCCTATTGGATAATGAGTTGGTCATCATTAATGATGGCCAATTCATTATCCAATAGGAGGGGGACACTTCACTTGTCCATTTTATTGGTTCCATAGTTTGGGTCCCTGTAGCAAAGCTATTTACAAACCAAACAAGCAATTTATGATTCCAATGGAATAAAAAACAAACAAAGAAAAGTATAAAAGTAAAATTGATACGGTGGACAACAACTTTCCAAGTTGTGTCATAAATACACAACTTTACCAACAACAACCAAACAGATTATTAGTCACCCTTTGCAACCATGAGCGTAGAAAAGCGGATGCGATATCATTCACGGGGTTCATAAAATAAGAACGCGCGATTGATGATCGGAAAACATTACACATTCATTCTGTACCTCCGGAAGCTGATAAATGCCTTAAGATAAAAAAGGCATCAACCCAAATACAAAGATGTACAACATCTAATCAATGTTGCTCCTCCCCAGATCTATAGCTAACTTCGTTACCGACATAATTTTATTTTCGCTTCGTAATCGAAACATAATTTGATTTTCAGTACTTCATCATCAGGAGACTGCGTTGATCCGATAGCCAGCTCAACTCGAAGGGTCGATCTCCTCCCTCTCCCTGACCCAGACCTTCAACCCCCCTTTCATCTTCATAATCAACACCAGCTCCGGCTCCCTCACCTTCTCGACGTCCACCACCTCCACCTCGAACCTCTCCATCACGCTCGCCACCACCACCTTCATCTGTATGTACGCCATGTCCTTCCCCAGACACATCCTCGGCCCCGCGTGAAACACGGGGTACTGATACGGACTCACAGGCTGAAAGACCCCCTCCCCGTCAAGCCACCTCTCCGGCTTGAACTCCCTCGCGTCCTCCCCCCAAATCCTCTCCGACCTCCCCATGGCGTACGAATTGTACATCACCTGCTGATTCTTCCTCACTCTGGCGCCGCAGGGCAGAACGTCGTCTCCTGCGCTGGCACGCCCCTGCAGAGGCACCGGCGGG